TAGGAGGATACTCCAAAGATTTCCACAAAAGGTCTGCAAGATTCCATCACATGTCGCTCTCTGTAGGATACCCCACAGGACTTCCCACATTTTTTGGGTGACCCGTCAGTCACTCGAATCCCACATGAGGTTCCCAATGAAAAGTAGTGACTAGCCTCTCAAGAGAAGTGACTCACTGGGCTGCAACAATCACATGAGATTGTATACAAACAGGCACATACAAGTAAGGGTTTTGAGGATCCACACCCCTGCTATGGAGGGTACGACCCTGCCATGAAGATCATGAAGAGCCCAAGGATTCTTAGGGTAGCAAATGGAACTAAAGACCTTCACAAACAGCTTCATGACTCTCCCCCCACTCAGCTTTTCCCGCTGATCACGCAAGCATCTGCACGCCCAGTGGCACACCAGTCGAGCTGCTTCCACTGCCAGTGGCGCACTGGCGGTGCCCAGCTGAAAAATCACCTCGACATGACATGACATGTTTCTCCGTTCTACCCATCTTGGGCACCGCTGGATGTCAAAAGAATGGGCCAAGGAGGGAGTAAAGGGCAAATCGGATAATCAGTGAGAAGGAATGAATGGATCTGGTACACTGCGGCAAAAACAGAAAACACGGAAGTGGAGTTCATACCCCAGTTGTAAAGGAAAGTAGTCTTCCTTTCGGGAAAATGCCATCCACGTAACCATGTTACTGAGTCAGAGTGTAGGTGTTTCGTGATGTTTGTCGCAGCTCAGTGGTGGGCCTCTTCCCCCATCTTGTCCCTCTTCTGCATTCTTCTCCCAGCGCAAAAAAAAAGCATGTGCACGTCCAAATTCATGCTTGAGAAGTATCATTGAAAATGGGTCGACCTTCTACCAGGACCTTCCAACAGGTGGTTTTGGGACACCCCTTCAAAGCTTTACCTCCAAGAGCCTATTCACAGACACCTCTTTGGTAGAATACTTTGGGCTCCCTCTTCAACCCATCCGTCCCGGCGCAGCATCCGTCCGGATTTCATGGCGCCGACCTTCTTGGTCTCTGTGGCGCAGGTGGAAAAGACCGAGACTTTCTCCTGGGCGAGGAGAGGAGAGGCCGGGGTGGCGATGGTGGGTTTGCACCTGCCCTTCTGGCTGGGTAGACGAACGGTCAAGCTTTTCGGAACCGAACCCAGGGGGGTTCGAACGCAGTCCTGAGTGGTCTCCCTCTACACACCCACATGACACCCTGGTCTGGATGATGGCTGATTGCTACTGACACGTGATGTGCATATCGCATGAAGGACGTGCATGCACGGAACCCAGCATGTTTGAGCCACGGAACTGGCTCCTGATCTCTCCTGTTGCTTTGAACTGGCTCCTGGCTCCTAATTAGCTTTGCCAACATCTAAAATATTCAACTGACATTGACAAGATGTCCTTTCAACCGCATTGGCCAACTTTCCCACCCCAATCCGCTGCGTGTCTGTGACCGGGCCCTGACCTGGTGTTTCACCTTCCTTACCTTGGTGTTTTACCACTGACAACTCTGCTGTTTTACCTGGTGTTTCCTGCATTTTGGCTGGGTGATGTTGTTTTGAACCTTTCAATCCGCCACACACATCAACAATGTCTATGACACTCCCAGCATCGGATGAAAAGGCGCCCCAAAAACCCTTCGGAAACGGACGGCGATGAGCCCAGGGTCCCTTGGGGAGACATAGTCAATGCAACCTCAGGATGCCGCATGGAGCTTCAGTGGTCGCGCGGACCGAGCATGAAGAGACCCGGTGGAGAGGCACAACGGTTGGGGCAATGCAGATGGTGGCCGTTCAGGAGGTTCAGAAACAATGGGGCAGGGTCAGCTTTCCATAGCTGACAGTTGAAGATCAAGGTCCAAGCTCTGTACCCTGCGTGTCGTGATATATGTCGAGTAGGATACAGCTGTCCGAAGGAAGCCACTCAAGGTCTCCAGCCACAAAGGTTGACGTGCTCACCGTCTTGAACCGTCTCACCGCCTTAACCTTCTCAATCTCAAGAATCTGTGGCGATTGATGGTTGGGAAGTCGATCGCTGCAAGTGCCCTTTCGGATTTGCAACTCCCAGGAACCGGGAAACATACAAAACATACAAGGACATATTCCCAAGAAGGGGATTCACCCACAAAAAGGGAAAGCAAACATCCCCCCCCCCAAAGTCAAAGGCAGAACCACCAGGTCACCCACGCATTTTTCCTATGCCGCACTCCCCCAAGGCCCAAGATAGCCAAGATTCACCGAATTCCGAACCCATCCACCTTGGAAAATACGCCGCTCTCTGCCCAGGCACCAAAGGCGTGGTTCTCCACCCGTTGCGCTCCGATGAGCTTCCGGTCTATAATCTCCTCGCCATAGACGAGGCTGGCGCCATAGCGCAAACATTCCAAACGCAAGGGCAAAGTACCTGGAGTGGCTCGGATGGCACTGCGGAAGCCTTGAAGGCTGGTCAGTGGCTTGAAGGCTGTGAGGGGGTCAGTGGTTCGACGGCTTTGAGTGGGTCAGTGGTTCGAATCTAGGGGAGCTGAATCTGGCTGAATCGGCCATGCCACAAACGCGTGCAAATGTGCAATGAGGTGGACAGCTCAATAGCATAAAGCTTTCTCAAGCAAGTGCCCTCAAACCTTGGTAAACCTCCGGTGAGCTAGTGAGAAAGCTTTACCTTCTGGAGACTCTCAATGGCCTCAACCGATAAATCTGTCTCACTCTAGCTTGTACTGTTGATGGGTCTTCCGAAGCTGTGCCTGTACTATGGCCAGGGTGAGGAAAACAAATAACTAGGCCACACTCAAGAGTCGAACACTAGTTTGGAAGTGTGGTATATCATGTTCATGTAGACTCTTGAGGTACACAAACCCACCCACTGAAAAATGGACATCCTCTTCACATGGAGGGTTTATTATGGGTTATCAATCAAGGATTTCTTACAGTTCTTACTCCATACGTTCTTACCATAACTTCTTACAGTTCCCATCCGTTCTTATTCCACCTCCATCCCCCATCCAGCCTACGGAACAGAACATGGGACCGAACTTAAGGGGAACTCCCTGAAACTCGGTCGCTGTTGAATTGGGGAAGAACTGACACACCGAATCGGCGCCCAGGGCGACGGCGGGTGGGCCCAGGGCGCTGGGTGGGTCGCAGTCGCACGATGCGATGCGTACACTCGAACACGGATGGCATGGAAATGGATGGAATTGGCCACTGGGAAGAGCAACTTGTCCTCTTCAAACAGGCGAAATTCCATAATTTTCCACTTCCATGGTTAGTGAGTCAAAGACCCAAATGCTTTTGTCAAACCAACTCGACCTCTCAGCTCTCCTCAGTCGCATCACCGTGGCCTGCGCGGACCATGGGCGCCAGCACTTCCACGTTGCGGAACTTCATGGGGTCAGCCATGGCGTCGACTAAAAAGTGGAAGTGAGAGACCTGTGGCAACCTGTGGATTACTTTGAGATATCCAAAACACTCCATGTATATTTACAAAGGCAGGCAGTTTCAGGGTCAATGCAGGTTAATATTCCATACATGCAGTGTCTGGGCATACATTCATAATATGCTGAGTTATGGTGAGGTCAGGCTCTACCACAAAGCGTATAGAACTTATCAAACCCTATAGTACTAATTATGCATGGTTACAATCATATACGATATACATCTAGTATTGGAAGCAGTCGCGTTGTTGGCCGGTTTGTAGAGGAAAATTGTTTTTCCAAGGTCAATTTTTCAAGTTCCATGTTGATCTTCCCTAGGTGTATTCTATATCTACCGTGCATGACTCAACAGAACAAGCTGAGAAAGAGCAACGGACCACGGAACGAAACAATAGGTGGTTTGCCTAAACGTGGGATGGCTGCAGCTGCAGTCTTGAGTATTGGCCAAGGCCTTGGATTTGCCTCTTGGCTGCTGGACGTCTGCAGAGTGCATGTGGCTAATTTTTAAACGATTCTCCCCGTCTTAAACACACCAAATTTGCTGACAATGGCTTTACAAAAGCATCCATAAACATATACAATGGTTTGAATGTCTCCAAGCCTCCAAGCATGAATTTGACCAAAAAACGATTGACATCATGAAGCATGGATCGAGGAGGCCGCTGTACTTATAAGCAATATGGAAAGAGTCGCTCCCTACCAGTGCTGGGAATGCGTTGTCTTGCCATCGCCGGAAGCTGAGCAAGGCCATTGGGCGACTCATATGGATGCCGGTCATCTCAAGTCTGGAACCTTTAAGCAATGGCTTCCCAGCAGCTCCTACAGCTTTACTGTAATGCAGACTGATTCATAAAGCATCACATGTCGACATGTGAAGAGGTGCTAGAATCCAAATGGGGGTACCCACGTTACAACAACGAAAAAAAGGGGCGGTCCAGTGGGTGCGATGAACCGGTCCAGATGCGCATCCAAATGGGGGTGGCTTTATCAAGATTCCATATACCAGAACCCTCTAAGGGGTGCCCAATGGAAGCCTATAGGTAGTGTGGGGTAGTCCATTGGACACCCCTTGGAGGGTCCTGGTATGTTACATTACATGTCATGTCTCAGATCTACTGATTTCATGGCCCATGGCTCATGTCCCACAGTAGTTCTGAACCTTCGACGTACAGAGATGTTGAACAACTAGGTAAATACTATACAATATAGGAGCAAAGCCAAAGCTTTTGCCGCCACGTTGGGGTCCTGCACAAAGATGGCAAACCCTGTACAACGAACAAATTCGTTGTCTGCCCATGGGCATGGGCATCCTTTCTTCGAGGGGTCTACAACTACTTGACCATGCTAGGTGCCAGGGTCAAAGCCTTCGGACAGAACATCTACGGTCTGCAGAGTCTGCGGTCTCCATGTTGGATGTCCGTCTGCTGCCTGTCTCATGATGGGCCGTGCCACCTTGTTGGCCCCTGGGCCTCCTTCATTGCAACATGTCATAGAACTAGGAACCACTGGCTGATGGACCAGCACCTCCATCCCTACTTCAGTGGGGGGGGGTTCTTCGCGGAGGGGTTCTCGCCTCTGAGCGGAAGGATCCTGCCAAGCAGGGGCTGCAGGTGTTCGCCTCTTCCGTGCGGGGATCGAAGTGACCTGAGTCCGGGCGTTCTGACGGAGTCCGGTCATGGACGCCACAAACCGACATGGATAAGTGGAGACGGACGCCTCCCCGTTGCGTAGAGAACACGCATAGAGGAGCTTGACCTGATATAGATAACAGGACTGCCTGTAGGAACATTATGGGGAACGCTCTGGTTATAGAACACTCTGGGGAGCATGATATGTTTCTTTCCGTATAGGACTGCCTGTAGCCGTATATATATAGTCTGTTCATTTGTCGTGACTGCATCTGGGGGTGGGTCACGTCACCACTGTCACCAACCTATCGGATGTCATCATAGGGAATCTGCACCAGTGCCTCTCCATGCATCCTGCGCCGATTTTGGTTTGCAAGACGCTTGTTTCTTCTTGTTTCAATCATGCACTCTACACCAAAGGTCATTCACTGAAACATAGACAACTCCAAGGGTACATTCCTCTCGCCATCACCCTAGTTGGTTCATGTTCTCAACCACTGGGTTGCAAAAAACACACACTCACACATGGACAAAATACCACCAAGGTGGTCCCTTCAATGGTCTTTTGGCATTCTGGCACATCCTTCCTTTGCGGAACCGGCTCCAATGTCGTTCCAAGTTCTGCTGGTGCTGGCAGTCCTGGAGCCTCTATACTCTGTAGCTGCACTCCGGATTTTCATCTGACACATTCTGGCACTGAACTCCATCCGAAAGATGGGAGGTGACGCCTTGGGATAGTTTCACCCACCTGACTTCCTGGTGACATACTCAATGATGTCTGCTTGGCCTCGGCGGGCTTGAGATAAACAACAAACACAAAGCCGACAAACAGGAAGCGCGAACACCTTGTTATTTTGGTGGGTACTAGGGTAGGGGTAGTAAAACGTGCTTGCAATACCAAAGATTGACACTGGAGGCTCAAATCTCACATTGAGCATCTGCCTGCCTGCCTAGGAACAATGGATGAAGGAAAACTTCCCTTGAGCTGGTGGGCGGTCTCTTCTTGGACGGTCATACGGAAAATGGATGAATTACAGTAATATGAATTAACGATGGATATCTCCCCCAAACTGTCTAGGTTCGAACGACTGATCGTTTTGAGACACCACTCGAGGGAGCACGACTGGTCGAGGGCTGCACGACTAGTCGCATCTCCTCTGTCAAGAAGGGCTGCACTTGTGGCGCTCCGTGGTCATCGCCCAGGTCTTCCAGCTACTCTGCATGCTGGAGATGGCAAGTGGGTCTGTGGGTGAAAACTGCTCCCGAAAGCCAGGCCATACCAGGGGATCTCCCCTTCAGAACTCATCAATAGTTTTTCACACCAGATATGATGCCTGAACACCTCAGCTATCCTCCACTGAAAAGCCTGGAAGGCTATATACTCACATGTTTATATATGCTTTTCACCCACATCCAGTGTTCTGCGACTACTCATGAGATCTCAGGAGTATCTTCTCCCAAGCCTACTCGGTTGAGGGGGGCGCAAGGTGATCAAGAGGGCAAAGTGGGCCACTGTGAAATCCATTTGAGGGCATTTCTCCTCAAGGTCAGGCAGCATGTATTGCAGCTCTTGCTTGCATGCTTCGCTCAAATGTGGCCCTAAGTCCTCACCTCTAGCAGCCACCACGCCAGCAATGATTATGAAGATCATCGGTGTCAAGAGCAACGTGCTTAGCAAAAGTCCCACCAGTGGAGCTGGACTCCGCACATGGCTCCGGAAAAACAGCCGTGCGAAGGCAGAACCCAACATCAGAATGCACGCGAGAATCACAATCGCAAAGGTCCTATAGACCGACTTCGCACGAGTCTCCAACTGGGCCTCGACTTCTTGGATCTCTGGCGCATCACCAACCTGGCACGGCCCGGGCCGGAAAGGGAAACTTAGTGATGGGCAAGAATTGCAAAGATATGCAAAGGTAGAGGGACATGTGATGTGTGTGTGTCAGCAAGCTGCGGTTTAGGAGGCTTGAAAGCTTGAATGGGGGCACATTCGACGAGGTGAACAATTAGGAACATGAGATAGCAGTAGCTTCACAGGCTTAACACCCTGTAGTGTTATTTTTGAACTCTTGTTTGGTCTTGATGGTTCACAACCCTGCACTTCCTCTCACTATAGTATACTGTGTTCTAGAGTAGAGTATTTTGTCCCACAGATTGTCTTATGACATCTTATGACCCATCCCGAGAATTCCTTCCGCTTTCTCCAAGCCACACGGTTCACGGACTCCAGCACAGAGTTCCAAGTGTCTGGTGTCACTGCTCTCCAGTGCTTGGTGTCTCGTGTCCAAGACTTTGGGAGAGTCTTGGTGACCTCCTCAATCTCCAGTCCTCGCTTCAGCCAGCGCGGCGAAAGGCTGAACTTCTCCGGAGGGGAACACGAGAGCTACTGGGGGGGGAGGGTCCCATGAACTACTCTGAAAGGATCTTCCTGTTCTCCACCCGGAGAGCAGTTTCGCCGCAATTTCCGGGCCAACTGACATGGAAATGGGCCACCAGATCCATTACACTAGACTCACTTAGACCCTTGGGACATGTCTGGATCGTCCTCTGGGCACCCACCAGCCATCACGTCTGAATCGAAAGGATATCTGGTGCACATTCATCGGCAGGCCCCGCGGTACACCGAAGGTGGGAGCTGCAGTCCCAGAGCTGCACCCCCCGTGGTTCACGCTGGCGCCCGCGGGCGCGGGCGCGGGCGCGGGCGCGGGCGCGGGCGCGATCGTCGGCGCCGTCACCATGGGTCAGAGGGAGAGGGGTCAGAGCTGAGGCTGGAGAAGCTGGAGGGGGGGCACGCTGGCTTTGAGCCACTTGGACGGTATATATGCAGCAATTCAAGGGTTGCACCATTTTGTCCTTTGAACTTTAATCATCATATTTTTGCCCTACAATGCTAAGCTGCATAGACACCACTTTGCCCGGTGCAACACACCGGAGCAAGAGGAATTCGACAAAAGATTCCGGCAGATTTGTTTGACAACTCTGAGTGAACTGACTCCAGCTGTTTCTTGAACTCTTTCTGACGACCTTTCCTGGTGGAAGCTTTACAGCACCTTGCTGCCTTGATGCTACACTCATCTGCTACGTTGGGTCTCATGTGCACCTCAAAGCCCTCACTACCCTCCGCCCTCGGCAGGTCTTCCAAAAAGCCCAAGCATGACATCGGTTTTGATAGGACGTTTGACCATATGTTGGGTGGTTAGTGCTCCAACATCAAGGTCATTCAAGCTCTAAGTCCATCTATACCTGCCAGCAACCTCGTGGTTAACTATAGAGAAACATCCGCAGACTCAAATATAAAGGCTGCGACTCCTAAAGATGTGTTTCACGACAAACAAACACAACACTCTGAGGAAGTTCCAGGTATAGGCATATACCCAAGGGTACCTGTCCCCTCCTCACGTTCGGTGGTATTCCCCCCCCTTGGCACCCACCCCTGTCCCATTCTCTCAGGAGGTGGGCCAGGAGCCCTAGGGATAGGTACATCCCCCGGGTCTCGGTCTCACCCGAGGCAAAAAAACCACCCGGTCGAGCCGACGGTCGAGACGACTCCCGCTGAGCGTCCCGACGAAGGTGGTGGGTCCGTCGAACGTCTATGCCGCTTTCGCCGCTGTGCAGCGCTGTGACATCCGAAGCTTTGACCAAAAAGGGCCACTCCATCATCATCATCATCATCATCATCACCTAAAAACAAACACCATCAAAAACAGACACTCCATCAAAACAAACAGCTTTGACACATCATCACCCAAACACGACGTGTCTGGGGCTGCCAGGACGGACTGCCGATCAGTGCCAGGGCAGTTGGGGTGGTGCCAGGGGGGTCAATGGGGCGGCATATATGGCATGATATGGCATACATGGAGCGTCTGGGTCAAAGAGAAGGGATGACAAAAAGGGGTGGACTGGCCAATCTCCACGCAAGTCGACGCAGAGGTGGTAAGAGTGGCCACTCGGAGGAACTTCCTCGTTCTGTAGACGACCCACAGTGTTGACGATTGACGACCAAGGACCCTGAAAACCACCAACTTATGAAGGAACATAAACCTTCCAAGGTCCACTTTCATTCTCTGCATTCTCCATATTGATTCAGTAAATGGGTAACATGTAACTGCCTAGAGCCTCCTTGAGGAAACAGTGGTCTACATAACTATACATATTGATGACGTCCTCCATCTGCACTGCTCTGATCCACATGTGACTTTACTTGTGGTACTCATGCCTGTGGCACATGATGTCCGTACAAAGTTTGGTTCTGCGAGTGGATCTTAATCAGCGAAGTTTGAAGCTATCACTGACGGTCCATAAGCGGCGTAGCGTCGGAACGGAAACCGCACCTTTTCTAGTCGCTTGATCCTTGAGCCAAAGTACATATGGTACATATATATGTACAAGTTGCACTGTACGTGTCGCTGCACTTCCATTCGCACCCCCCATGTGAACGGCAACAATATGTTCCGATCACACACGAAAATTTAGGGATGTAAGTGCTACAAAGAAATTGTGTGTTTTGCCGCGAGACTCATATGAGGCTCATACTACGAAACATGCTGGACTAAAGCGGACTTTTACATATAAAGTGTGCAACTATGGCTCAGAACCTTTGAAAATCGAATTGAACAAGTGAGACAGTCACGAGGCCTCGCTCAGTATCCACTCAAAAGAGCATCGCTTTGATGTAGATCCGAACTGGTGACTTCCACGTAGATGTCACATCGGCAACTGACTTCACACTTCTCAAAAGATGTAGGTTTTTTTTGATTTGGATACACTTACAGAACGGCAAGTCGGAGAGACAGTCGGTGATTGTCTTCCTTCCATTATGCTCATGGTATCAAATCGTATTGATGATTTGCAATGATACACTTACAGCGTTTCAGGTCAGATAGACATCCGGTGAATGACTTCCTCCCTGGTTTGCATGGTATCCTCATAGTCGTTCAAAGAAATCACCACTGGCGATGACCTCTCCATCCACGATGATCCCAGCTGCCCTGAGCATCCCGCCGATCATCTTCT